CTTTCTTTCTTTCTTTCTTTCTTTCTTTCTTTCTTTCTTTCTTTCTTTCTTTCCTCTCTTTCTCTCTTTCTCTTTCTTTCTCTCTCTCTTTCTTTCTCTCTTTCTTTCTTTCTTTCTTTCTTTCTTTCTTTCTTTCTTTCTTTTTTTCTTTCTTTCTTTTGTGGTACTGGGGCTCGAACTCTGGAACTTGCCCTTGCCAGGCAGGTGCTTATGCCACTGAGCTATCTCTTCAGCCCCTGGATCTAGTTTTTAAACGTTTACCTGCCAACATTAGAAGGAACTAATTGTGCATAAAATAGAATATATATTTAAGTATATGAGCACTGGAAATGCAGATCTTTCAAAGTTTGAGATATTTAGATTCAGATAACATCATAGTTCCGAGCTTTATGTAGCGCACATTGATCAAAGCCTGCCTCCTCAGAGGGAATAAATCTTCTACTTACTTCTTGGTGTCTTTGTGGTCCAGCACGAAGAATTCCGCTTGGATCATTTCTGGAGTCAACATAACTTCTGTACTGTGTTCATAGAGCTCACTGAAAAGTAATAAGATGTTTTGTAGGAACTGTTTTTCCTTTCTGACATAAAAATAGAATGAGATATTGTGATCATTTAGGAGTTATGCGTTCCTTACGGCTTTCACCACTGATTTCATCTACTTTTGTTGAGTCTAGATTCAGAGAAACAAAGGTTCCTAACGTGCTCTCTACCAGCAAACAACGATAGGAGGAGTTATTTATAACCACAGAAAGCAGCTAAAAGTGGGATCACAGATTTCATATTCTTTTCAAATGCCTGTGAAGCATTTGGGCCATAAAAAGCCCAAATGATTGAAATCATTCACACTGTGTTCTCTGACCACAATGGAAAGCTATAGAAATCAGCGGCAAAGAATAACTAGAAAGTCCACAGTGGCTTTAGAATTAAACAATACATTTCTAAATATTCTATGGGGAAAGAAATTCAAGGGATCTAGGTTATCTTTCATCTTTTGGTAGTTTTCCCCAGGACAGAGGCCAGCAAACTTTTTCTGTGAAGACTTTTTGAGTTATACAGTCTCTGTTCTAGCTACTCAGCTCTTCTAGTATAGCTGGAAGGATTCACAGAAAATACATAAATGAATGGGCACGGCTGTGTTACAGCTAAACTTTATTTATAGGCACAGAGGGCAGGGCAGGGTTGGCCGTGGGTCAGCAAGCTGGCCTCGAGCTTTGTTGTTGGATTGTTAACGCTAAGTCACTGCCGGTTTGAATTTCAGCTGAAAGAGTCGGGAGAAAGCAGGAGAAGCGATAGATGTGAGCAGCAGACTGTCTCGTCTGCTTCCATCCCGTTGGCAAGAAGCCTAGTCAGATGGAGAATTTAATTGCAAGGGAGGCTGGGAAATTAAGTCTCTAGTTGCAATGACTGTGACTTTAGGAAAGTGCAAGGAATTTTTAAACAACAGCCATCTCCTTGCACTCAGGTATAGTAAAATGTTTTCAAGATGAATGAAGATTAATAGAAGTAAGAAAATTTGGAATTTCAATTAGGAACTCTTTATCCATCAACAATGCAGAAACAGAGGAGAACGTGGCCGTTTTCTGTTAGGAAAAAATGCCCTTGAAAAGAGCAAAAAGTTCTTGCAGTCCCATAAGGTTGAAAACTGACCCTGAACAGCTGCTACACAGGAGTCGAGGGCAGGTGCTCTGTAGACATTACGCCTCCATTGGCAGTTTTCTGACTCTCAGCTGGGCATGATGGCAGGACCTCATTCTGGGGATTACATGGGACTGCTTGCCAAGCTGTGTGGTACACATTTAGTGCTTGATAAAGATTAATAACTATGATTACCATTCTTCTCATCAGCATCATATTATCCCTTTTAATTTTGACCACCTCCTATAAAGGACCATTACTCCCATTTCAGAGACAAGGAAACTGGGTCCCAGTAATGTGAACATCAGTGCTGAATGGGGGAGGGTTGTTTTGGTTTGGTTTGGCAAATGTCTCCCCAGTGGTCTGAGCCAGAGAAGACTTGTTTTTTGGAAGCTGAAGTGAGCCTGTTGCATCCTGCAAGGGCGGCAGCACTCTTCACTAAGGCCCTGAAGCAGTGCTCGAGTGGGAGGCCTTTCAGCCTTCCTTCTCAGACCTGGATTCCAAACTTAGAGGCCCAAGTTCTGCCAAGTCTCTGGGCATGTGGGATGGTCTTAAGTATCTAGAATTTCACTAATTGACTATTTACATGTAAAATTGTCCTGAAAGCACCAATACAGTATGTGTTTATAAAAGAAAGAAATAGAAACAGAATGCCACAGATACTTATTTTTGAGTACATACTGTGGGAATGACACTAGTCTGGCAAGTAATAAAGCATTTCCTGTGATTATGGAGATTTTTTTTCTTTTGGTACCAGGGATTGTACTCTGGACCTTGCATTTGCCAGGCAGGTGCTTATGCCGCTGAGCCATATCCCTGGCCTAATCACAGAGATCTTAATCCAACTGTGAATACTGCAGTTCTTAGTGCTTGAACTACCAGGACTTTTTCACCCCCATCACAATCAATGGTCTAATTTAGAGCATGAAAGTTGGGGCTGATTGAGGGGGAAAGTGAGTAAGAGGGCTAGGAGCCCTAGGATCAGTGGGGATGGAACAGAAGGACAGGGCCCGGAGGGGCTCAGCGCCCAGGTCCTTCCTCTCTCGGTTGCAGGAATCAGGCCCTAACCTCCAACTATCGAAGTCCTTGAAAGCCTAAAATCCTTAAAATTAAAATATTGAAAATGAAATTCTTGAGAAAACATTTAAAAATTCTGGCACAGCAGGCTGGGGATTGAACTCAGGCCCTTGTGCTTACCAGGCAAGCACTTATTCTACTGAGCCATCTCCCCGGCCCTCAGTTATTTGTATTTTAAAAAGAGGATTTGTTTGTGAAATGTGCAAGAACATGCCAGAACCCTTTGTAAAGCACTTTGGTGGACTGGAAGAACAGTTTTTGCATGCATTAGCCTGCAGCCATGCAGTAACAATTGTATGGATAGAAGAGGCATGAGTAGACAAATCATATTCATAATGAAATAGATCAAAAGGTCAAATGTAGGCAGGTGTTGTGGTCACATCTGTAATCCAAATACTTGGAAGGCTGCAGCCGGAGGATTGCTGTGTGTTGGAGGCCAACATGAGTTACAAAGTGAGTTCAAGGCCAGCCTGAACTGCATAGTGAGACCCTGCCTTAAGAAGACAAAAAAAAAAAAAAAAAAAAAAAAAAAAGGGACCCTTACTGCAGTCAGTGCACAGGCCTGGCTTGAGAGGAACTTCCTCCACCAGACAGGCCTGGTATAGAACCTGTGGCAGAACTCACTGTAGAGAGGCTAGAGGCAGGACCCACCCAGCTGACCCAGGAGCAGAACATCTTGCCAGAGTGACACAGCAGGTTCACTTCCAAGGGCTGCAGCAGGAAGAAGTGGAGCACAGCTGCCAGGCCCAAGCCACACCCATCTGGAGGAGTTTGAATGTGGTAGATCCGGACCTGGTGCCAAGGTGATAACTCTACCAAAGCTCTACATCAAAGGTCAGAACACAGTGCTATACAAAATGACAAAGAGAAGGAGCAAAATGCATTCTCAGGCCCCAAGCTCAGAACAAATGCAGGAGACAATTGCATAGAAGAAATTGGAAATCACACACCTAAAATCTCTGAAATAATAGCATCTGAAATAAAGAAATAACTGCAGAAAGGTATAGAGAAAATCAGATGGGAAATAATTTCTGAAGTAGAAAAAGAAATAACTATAATGAAAGAAGTACTAAGTGCTTCGGAAGAAGACACTGATAAAGGGCCAGCCAAATACCTCAGTGATTTAAAGCACCTACAGGCAGGTGCAAGGGCCAGGGGTTCAATCCCCAGGCCCGCTGTGCCAGTCCTGCCCCCGGAGTGTGCTGAGACGCAATTGAGACTGGGCGTGGTGGTGCGTACCTGTAATCACAGCTCTTGGGAGGCTGTAAACAGGTGGATCACTATGAGTGTAATCTAGTAGTGAGACCCTGAACACCCTGTAGACCCTTCCCTAAAAAGTACAAAAAAAAAAGACACTAATAAAAAAATAGAGGAGAATATAAAAATGATGGAACCCTTGAATAAGCAATATAGGAAAGAAATAGAATGCATGAAGCAGATTCAACGTGATATACAGGAAATTAAAATCTTAATACAAGGTGGCAAAACTGTTAGAATGAAAGTGAAAATAGACTTTCAGACCTTGAAGACACCATTGCAGCTAGTGAAAAGGTAAGAAAAGATCTTTTAAAAACAACTAGGATGCAGGAAAAAATAATTCAACACCTGCAAGACGATGCAAAGATGAACAACATAAGAACAATAGGCATCAATGAGAAAGAAGGAGTCAATACAAATGATATAAAAAGAATACGGGCAGAAGTAATAGCAGAAAACTTCCCAAATATGGGGCAACAATCTGACATTCATGTAACCGAAGCATATAGAACTCCAAATAACATCAACCCAATGAAAACCACACCTGGATATATAATAATCAAGATCCCAAAAATTCAGCACAGGAACAGTATACTAAAAGCCACTAGAGAAAAAAAAAAAACAGATCACATTTAAAGGAAAACCCATCAGAATAACAGCAGATTTCTCTTCACAAACCATCAAGTCAAGAACAGCAAGGAGCAAAGTACTTCAATTGTTGCAAGAAAACAAATTACAACCCAGATTGATATACGCTGATAAACTCTCAAGTTTAATGGATAACTGAAATACTTCCATGACAAAGAACAATTAAAGAATTTCATGACAACACCCGACCCTACATAGATTACTAAAAGATATTCTAAAGAGGGATCAAAATGCTCACAATTCCATGAATGAGAACAGAAAGAACCACCCCCCCCATAGGACACACAATTAAACACAGGAGAAAAAAAGGTATACAACAGCAATCTTTCAGTTACTCTTTTGTTTTGTATACAGCAGCAGGATATTTCCATCAGCATACGCTACAAATGGGCTTCTCCTGTGCTCTATGGGTCATGATTCTGTCTGGGTCTACAGGGTGGATATCAAGGAAATAGCAGTAGCTCAGTCCCATAAGTGACACCTGGCACCAGCAAGCATCATGGACACTGTCCACATCCACGACATGCTAGAACTTTCTGCAATATCCTGTCTCCTAACTGTTAGAAGTGCTGGTCATATATTTGCCATTCTAGTATTTTTGTTATGTTTTATTCTTAGTAATTCCTTACTAACATGAAAACTTTTTCTTAGTTGATATTTTTGTATATATTAACCTAATCAAATGCTATGTGAATACTCTGAACTGATCACAGATTTATATATGATACGCTACATCTAGCCTCTAAGTTGGACTCACAATTTAATTTTAAGTTTTGAATATTATTTTGAAATATTTAATTTAATTTTGAATTAATTAATATTTATTTTTCTGAATATTGTTTAATTTTAATTTTTGTTTTATGATTCATACTATTTCTTTGACTTACAATCTACTTATAAGACATGGTATGATATTTTC